TGGGCCCCGGGGCCCCCCAGCCCCCCGGCCGCCGCCACCACCATGCTGCCCGCGTCGGAGGCTGCAAAGATCTACCAGACCAACTACGTGCGCAACTCCCGCGCCATCGGCGTCCTGTGGGCCATCTTCACCATCCTCTTCGCCATCGTCAACGTGGTCTGCTTCATCCAGCCCTACTGGATCGGGGACGGCATGGACACCCCGCAGGCGGGCTACTTCGGCCTCTTCCACTACTGCATCGGGAACGGGCTGTCCCGAGACCTCACCTGCCGGGGAAGCTTCACGGAGTTCAGCAGCATCCCCTCTGGTGCGTTCAAGGCCGCCTCCTTCTTCATCGGCATGTCCATGGTGCTGGTTCTCACCTGCATCGCCTGCTTCGCGCTCTTCTTCTTCTGCAGCACCGGTACTGTCTACAAGATCTGCGGCTGGATGCAGCTGGCTGCAGGTAGGAGAGCATGTCTTTGTTTTGTTTGTTTCTTTCTTTCTTTCTACACGTGTGGAGCACAGAAGTTTACTACTAGACACATTAGGTTTGTTTGTTTGTTTGTTTCTACACGTGTGGAGGTTTAACTACAGCGCACAGAAGTTTACTACTAGACACATTAGTTTCTATCTATCTATCTATCTATCTATCTATCTATCTATCTATCTATATTTAGGATGTAAATAACTCCTCCTGAGTACATGAAGTGGCAAAATGCAACAAGCTGGCTTTATAAAACTGCAAGAACTTGCACTTAAAACTGAACATAGTTTTTATGCCGTTCTCAGTACTGAAGCTGTTGACCATTTATAAAGTTGGCACTTTGTTGTATTTCTGTTTAAAAGCAAGCTGAAAATGTACCTCAGTCTTTGGAGTAAAATGACAGGACTATACTCCACAGTATTAGACGGTCCGTGTCCGCAGGAAGGACAGGAAGTGCTGCTGTCACACATTTGGTCCAGTTAAAGAACCGTACGGAGCTCACAAGCCACAGTTTGTTGTTGTCGCTGATCAAAAGTGATCTGAAAACACCAGCTGGACTTTGAGTCCACCTCCAGTTCTCCCTGTTACTGGACAAGTAGTTCAAGACCAGTAGTTTGCCATAAGACACTGCTGGTTACATTCTTCATGCCTTTACATGTATTCATGCAAAAAAAGGTCTGCCGCCTTACAGGACCTACAAAGAGTCTGAGGGTTTATTTTAGAAAGAAAATGTATTTTTAAAAAGTACTAATGGTTTTAATGTGATTATCTCTGAAAAACACTGTTGAATCAGGCCTTTTTAATCCAGCCAGTGTTGGGGATGTAAAGTACGGTGTCTATCATGTACAGTGTGTGTGTGAGCTTACCACAGAGTAACATGGGAAAAGTGTAGCACGTAGTGTAGTGTGGGCCACATCCAGTTGCTCTTTTTCTCCACATCTGGATCAGTAACTTGTAGCCCACATGGACTGTGCCGGCAAACAGAGCTGGGTTGAACGTTTGTACCCACTGAAAGAAAACTTAGTTCTTTTTGTATATTTTAAAATGTTGTGGTGCTGTGCCCTCAGGTTTACCCCGTACCAGAGGTCTGCAACGTGGCAAATTCAACCCCGACTGTGCTTTTCAAACCAAAAAGAATTCTGACTAACACAGTGCAGCCAGCATTGTCCACAGGCACTGACTGTCACGTAGTGTTACTGTTACACATCACGCCTAAATTCAGCTTGATCCTAAGAAAACAACATATTGTCACTGTCTTCTTTTACCCAAAGATCAGGTGGTTGATTTCCAGCAGCCGTGCAGGTAACTAATTCATTTGTGTAACTCCATATACTGTAATACACATGTATATATGTATATATGTGTACACAGTGGTCCCTGGTCTATCACGGGGGGTTACGTTCCAAGACCACCCACGATTGGCGAAAAACAGCGACGTAGAGACACGACAGTTATTATATTATTTACGTATATAGTGGTCCCTGGTCTATCACGGGGGGTGACGTTCCAAGACCACCCACGATTGGCGAAAAACGGCGACGTAGAGACACGACAGTTATTATATTATTTACGTATATATTAACCCTTTACGAACCCTTTAGGTGGCGCTTTGGCCCAGAGGCAATGTCTCTGTCATTGGTGTGGAACCCCAGGGTTCACCTCCTGGACAAGTTCGAATCCCGGTTAGGGCGGTTAATACCTTCCAGTGGACTCACCACCCGCAGGAAGGTTCAGGGGGGTTGGTATGGTGCAATGTGATTTGGGTGGCGACTGCTGCCCCCGCGACCCGGTAACGGATAAGCGGATGAAAATGGATGGATGGATGGACGAACCCTTTAGGGAATCGTAGGACATGAAATATGAAATATCTCGTTTACCCCTACGTACAAGTTATTTCTTGCGATACCCTGTATATATGTGTTATAAAATGTTTTTAATTAATTTTTTTTACTATTTTTAGGCTAAAAAAATGTTATCACAAAAATAATGAAACTTTTGGAAATTTTTATATACCGCAAACAAACGCGATTGAGCAAAAAATCCACGATACGAGAATAAATTAAAATAATAAAAACCTGCGATGCACTCACGGCGCGACAGCCGAACCGCGATACAGCGAGACACGACTGTATATACACATATACAGTATTTATTATATATTGCTGCCTGATATATAACACATATAATAACATATATTGGGTAACATGGAGGAGTAATAATTAGAGTGGTAATCTTCTGAAAGATCCAAACTCTATGAGCCTCTTTGTGCAGACTTGTATTTTCTGCGTTGGCAGATGGGAGACGAACTAAAAGCCTTAAATTCACTACGTGAAAAGTGTTTTTTTTTTTGTGTGGGGGGGGGTGTTTCCATTAGAGGTGGTTTTATCCTCATGTACTCTCTTCCATTCATTTGCTGGTCATAGTGAAATAACATAATTTCCCATCTTAAAAGCAAAAGTTTTTCATTGGCAGTGATCATATAACCTCATTAGTCGAGCTCTGTGTCTTTTGAAAACGCCACTTGAGACTTGTTTTTCTTGACTACAACATTATGTAACTGACTTCAGTGAAGCTGGAGTGGCAACAACCTTGAGGAGAGATAAAAAGCAGACATCTTACAGAGATCTACGTGAAAGGCGACATTTCACAAATCTATTTTCTATTCAAATAATCAAAATGAATTTAAAAAAAAATGACTAGTGTTCCATAAAATGAACAAGAATCATTTATATTCTGCAGGAAAAAAAAAATCAAATTACGCACGCCTCCCCTCGCTGTGTTTAATGAAAAGCACTAATGCAATTTTAATGCACGTTTTACTTTAATTTTCCATACACTGTTACATAACAGTCAAGACGGTGGAAAGGAGAAGTTGTCTGGATTGTTAAGACAAAAAAGAAAAGAAATATGAATAGTTAATTTTTTTTGTCTCTTTACCAAAACATGAAAGGTTTTCTCCTACATATTTAAAAAGCTCTCAGCGTGCTATGATAATATAAGTGGAGGATCAGAAGTCAAAAAAGCATGGAGTTCTCTCTGCTCTGCTGCTCTTTCATTATATTAGCCAAACTCCCATGATCACTGCAGGAAGAAAGGGCTTTTTGCATACATGTGCACCGATCATTGTTCTTCCTGTGACAGACAGTAGATTTGTATCGTAACACACCACAGAAATGACAGGCCAACGGAGAAAACAGCATCTGTGGTTAAACGAATTACGTGGAAATTTAAGGCCTCGCAGCGTTCCTGTGGAGAAATTAGAGGCATCGATATGACGAAAGGCTCATTTATGGAATAATGAGAGATGAGTGAAAAATAATGGCTGACAAACGCAATTTAGCAACAGATTCGCTACGTAAATCTAATTTGCATGCATCCGTCAGCATCGCACCGTGCATCTCCGTGATGCCTGCTGCAAAACTGTGCTCCCGTCAAATTGGGAATTAAATGTCATAAGCAATAAAAGTCACAATGTGACTGGAGTAGAGCGGCTGCCTTCAGAAACAAGAGGAGAAAATAAAAATAGAAAAAAAGAAAAAAAACCAAACATCCCAACACTTTACCAATCAGCTCAGCATGATTCACCATAACCCCTTATTACATCACTGGTACTTACAGTTTACTCAGTAAACACTGTTTACTGTCCTTTTGTGGTTGGGTAAAACAAGTACCCTATAATTGCAGTACGGTACTCGGCCCAGTGTACTGTTTAGTACAGTATACAGTTAATATTACTCTATTGACAAAAATTGGTCATAATCTGCTTAGGAAGGTATTGTGTTCTGTCAGGTGTCAGCTAGCTAGCTAAAAGATTAGATAGCCGGTCACAAGTCATCGCAATGTAATTTCTTTTCCGATGTTACTTATAAATACTGACCAATCAGTGTTATTTTCTCTTTAATTGCGTTTATCCTCAAGTGCCTTGAGTTTCCCCCCAAACCTCAACGGCAGCAGCGATCGGGATTGTAAAAGAAAAAAAAACAACGAGTTCCGTCATTAAGCCGGTGCTAATGAGCAGCTGCAGCTTTGGATCTTAGCAGCTTTCTTTTCTCTCACAGATCAAAGCTACGTGTACTTCTCAGTCCTCAGACTCGCAGCTTGTTTTTCCACAGTTTTCCCACCATGCCGAGAAAAGGGATTTGAGGCAACACAGTCGGATACAAGAAACAAAAGCAAGGTTAAAAGACTGCCGCGTAAATCACCGGTGGGTTTATATCAATGAGATTAAAGGGCAGATAAGGACGTTTATGCAAAGAGACTGTACACAAGGACGCGCTTGAGAGACTTCAGCCCCTTATTTATCACTAGGATAACGTGGCAGCTTTCACCCTCTATTTTTCTAACATGTCTGAATACCTTCAGGAATCAAGATTAGTTATATAAAACAAAAAGGTGTTCAAAACAATCAAACTGGCACAACATTCCCAGTTATTTTGGGAAGGTTACCAATGTATGTCTCTTATATATGTGTAAATATTTTTTGAAAGAAGAAAATAAATTTGATTATTTAATGTGATGCTTTTTGAAAGAAGAAAATGATAAAAATAAATTTGATTATTTAATGTGATTTCTTTACCAGGACATGTTAGCTCTGCTGTCTGTACCAGGACTGTTGTAGCTAACGTTAGCTCTACTGTCTGTACCAGGACTGTTGTAGCTAATGTTAGCTCTGCTCTCTGTACCAGGACTGTTGTAGCTAACATTAACTCTGCTGTCTGTACCAGGACATGTTAGCTCTGGTCTCTGTACCAGGACTGTTGTAGCTAACGTTAGCTCTGCTGTCTGTACCAGGACTCCACCATAGTTTTTTCCAGTCTGTGTCTAAAGCATCTTCACCTCCGTCTTCACACCATAGTTTTTTCCAGTCTGTGTCTAAAGCATCTTCACCTCCGTCTTCACCTCCACACTCGTTCCTTGTTTGGTTAAATACCCAGAATTCCCCAACCAAACTAAAGATCATTTTACAATTTTCAGTATTT